GCCGCCACGCACACGCCGCTACCGAGCGGCGTTCATTCACTGACTCGCCTTCCTCTTCTTTCCGTTCCAACGTCTTTCCTCGTTTACAACCGGCGCGCTAACAGCCCGCGTCGACCTAACGAACACGCGCGCTCCTCGCCGCTCGTCCGCTCTCCTTCTGCTTTCTATGCGCGCGTTTTTCGCCCGGAGGATCGGCGATTCGCGACGGATCGACGCTTTCGTGGAGAAGAAACGGAAGGCGATTAGCGTAAATTCGTCGAGGCTAGCGAACGAACGTTCTCTCGTCCGCGTTTCGCCTCTCAACGAATTTCCATTTTTCGTGCCAGGCTTTCGTTCCACGGCGATTACCACTCGCTTCGTTTTCCATCTGGGCGGCGCAGCGGGTGAAAGTCACGCGATAACAGCATCGCCGGTCTTCTAATCGTCGCTAAGATCTAAAGCCTCGGTAATTGGGCAAAGAAATCGGGATACCGTTTCGCTGTTCGACCCTCGTTTCCGTTACGATCCTATAAGTCAGCAACGGCCACGGTGATTAAATAACGCTGCTGTGGGCACGTCGCGTTCTCATTACCATCGTCGTTGCGATCCGCCGCAAAATCGGATCGTCAAAATCATCGAGATCGAAAGAAGATCTACGACTCTGGTAGACCGGTTTTTTTATTCGTTTGGCGGAAAACTCGCAGAGGTCGCGCGACATCTGGCGGCCTTGGTTCGTCGACGGACGATCGCTCGGTTCGTAATACGAATACGACGACGGGACGCGACGTGCAGCCACCAAGGGCCATCTGGCCAACGAGTCGATATTTCAATCGGAATCTATATACATGGACGTTTAATAATTATCGATTCGCTCGTAAGCGCGATTCGATTGCGCGAGCTCTAACGAGTAGAGTCGCGTCGTCGGCCTTGGCGCGATACAAGAAAGATAAGGGCGTTCTTTGTCGCTATTTCGCCAGGTTGCGTCATCTCGGCCGGCCATCCGCGCGGAGAGGCAACATCCTGTGCACCTTCCACGTCTGGGAAACTCTTTTACGCCTCGCTTCGACGTTCTTCCACGTCGACATTGACTTAATTCGCAATTCCGTTGCAAACGAGAAGATACCTCCAGTACGAGGAATATGCCGGGTCGAGGAACTTAATTTCAGAGAACGACGGGACGTTGCAGGCGACTCGCGTTACGCGAACATCGATCGAGCGTACACGTTCCGGTAGCCTCGTAACTTGCAAGAGATCGAAATTTCGTCCGAGCGCGGAACAACGCGCGCGGAAAATACGCGCGTGGCAAAGGGGAGAGACGATCGCGTAAAGCGGAAAACGCGTCGGTTCGAATTGAAATTTTTCACGCCGTTACACTTTCCCGCGTATCTTTGAAAGAGGTCAGATACGCGACGATCGAACGGTCGCTCGCCTATTTGTTAACCGCGCTGGCATATTGGACACCACGCAGCGGCTTTCATCGAGAGAATTTAACGGCCTCGTTCGCTCACCCCAAATTATCCATCGCTTTAAATGAAACGTTCCTGCGAGAAATCTGCGATATTACGACCCTGGTCGTGTGCGTAACCGCGCGAAACGTTGTACGAGTATCGTAACGATATAGATCGCATGGGGTTTGAACATGGACAGTGTCTTTTCTTCCGCGTTTCCCTTAGCCACGATTTCGGAAACTAGCTCATCGCGCTAATCCTCTTCGTTCGACCACTGGCGAAGAAACAGGCTCCTGTAACACTCGGAAGACAGTGGACCTCGGACGACGTTTAGAAGCTGACGAATCACGACGTATAAGGAACCTACCGAGGTTGCAACAGCCGCCAAATCGTCGTTTATAATCCTCGCTTCGACTCGGAATGCTCGTGAGAAGAGAAGAAAGAAAAAGAAGATTGTTTCGTCCTAATGTGGCCACGTAATCGAGAACTTTTTGCATCGTACATCGTCCTAACGTATATATGTCGGATGAGCACAGGGATCAAGGTTGTGGGCGTCAAATCTTCGCGGCAATTGGCCATTGATGCGATACAACACAGGTGTAGTTTGTAACAGTCTTGACAATTAATCACGGCGATCAGACACTCGCAAAGCTAGTGACAATGGCCCCAGGTTCGATAACGAATCCAAAATTCGTCAAAATGATGACGAATGCGATGAGATACACGTAGGACTGTACACGTAAAACTTTTCTGCATGAACTCACACGCAGTGCAAGTGGAACTTCTCTTGTATATTCCTCTCCCCACCTCTCGGGCCAATCTTTGCTTTTAAGGAGAGCCATATAATCGTTCCGTACCTCTTGTCAGGTACACGTTCCTCCTCCCGTGACCGTGGCTACGTTCAGTCGGCCGCTATGTCACTTAGAGCTCAAGCCCATCGTCATAAAGTCGGATTGGAACGTTAAATCTTATTTTTTATCATTTAAGTATAGCTGCAGTAAAAGTCTGGTCTAGGGTACTGGGGTTTTTGCCAACATTGCAAAAGGGAAGTCCCGATGTCCTTTCATCTCCGACATATATATATAAAGCTCGTAGCGAATTTAATTTGTACGAACTAGTACGTACCTTTATGAATTGAATTTGCATGAATTTGCGATAATTCCAGAATTATCTACTCGTATAACGTGTTTACTCTAATACGTTATTTTTGTCTGGCGAGTAAATCGACTGCATCGAATAAATTAAAATACCGCGGAGTGCCGAACGAATTCCACGAACGGATTGCGCGATTTCGTAAACGCGTGTACTACCTTGGCCCCGGTCGATCGACCGGTGCACAGCTACGGCGCAAAGAATACCACAAATTACCTTCGATGTTATCTCGCGTTCTTCGAATGCCGGTATCCTATGGCGAGAAACAGAGAAAGAGAGAAGAATATCTCGGGCTAAATCGACAATGGAAAACTCCGACAGCACGCGTGTCTTCTCTCTATCAGCGGCGCACACCAGCGGCTTTCGCGCTCCGCTTTTGTGTCCCGTGACAAACACGCGAACTCGCGCCGTTTCTTTTCTCCTACGTCTTTTTTCCCTTCGACCAACCGCTGTTACTACGCGCATTCCATTTCCAAACGTCTTTCCGGATGAACCGACGATCTTTCGCAATAGCGTAGCGAGCAAACTCGAAAGTATAGTCTTTCTCCGTGCGCGCGAAAAGAGAACGGACGATCGATCAGGCGCAGCGTACGAACGAAAATTCGACTGGGTCGGACGGTGTCCTGTTCTGGAAAAAGGAATCGGTAAATCGGAGTTTCTCGGTCGAGAAAGGAGGCAGCATCGTCAGCAGCTGGAAAGGCCAAGAGCAGCTTCTCCGCTCGGTCGAGCTCGCCGAACAACTTTGCTCGGTGGTTTTCGATGGCAGGATAAAACTTTCCGTAGCATCGGTTTCAAAGGGGCAACGAGACCGGTGCGGCGCGCCATGCCACGGCAGGGACAGGCTCGTTAAAGCGAGATCAGCTAGCCGTTTCTGCTTCTTCTCCGTGTACGTGCAAGTACGTGCCGTACCGCTGACCAGTCGTTCTCCTTTTCCTTCTCCTTTTCCTTTCCCTCTTCTATTAACGCAACATCGTCGAGTCTCAGTTTTCCGTTTTTCCTCGTTACCTTTCATCCGTGCAATTTGCGGAAACTTTCTTACCCGGGCCAGTCCGGTTCTCCATGTTTTCCGACCATTAAAATCACCGAGATATCGATATCCTATCCGGCATCGAACAACGTCTCGATCAACCAGGACGTTCGTGCGCGGTCTGATCGCGAGATCGCGCGATTACTTTCGAGAAATAGATTATTTTCAAGACCGGAAACTTGCTTGTAAGAAACCGTACAACCTGCGAGAGTAACCGCGCAAACCGAATAACTACGATTAGGTGAAGTTTGCGAAACTCGGTGAATTAGATGGGGTTTTTTTCGATGTTCCTTCGGGCGTAACATTTACGACACGTCGCTATCTGCAACCGGCTGTTTGTCGTCTAAATTGCGTATACCAAAGGGTATATAACCGTGAATAAACAAACGAACGAACGAATAAAACAAATAAACGGCTGGGAGGATAACGAGAAGAGGTCGATTTTTCGAGTTTCGAGAACGTTTGCGTAGAGCCGTTGGGCGAATTCGCGGGGCACGTTCAGTCTCGCGGCGTACCGAACCAACGTTTCGACTTGCTGACACCGCTCTTGGTAATGCCAACAACCGCTCTTAATTATAATTTTAAATAGTCGCTGTTACGTTCTAGTTTGCCGCGGTACTTTTATTAACCGTGAAATATATCGCGAGAGTCTCCTCGACGAGAGAGGAAATTGCAGCGAAATACAGTGAAATACGGCGGACAGCGAGAGAAAGCGGGAGGAAAAAAAGGCAGGCAGAAAGAGAGACGAGAGAAACGGAAACTAGCGCTGAAATGTAATTTAATTCGATCGAGGCCAACGACGACGTAAGTAATTTACATTAGGAAAATTGCAGCCGGCAAACGGAAAGGATACTTTTGCTCGTCATGGAACAGATATCGGGACACTTTGCGACGAAAATAGAAGTACGCGGGCTTTTAACAAGTACCAGAAATAATTGGCGTCTGGGATGACGCGGTTCAAATATTTCGAGAATGATGCGAGCGTTGCTCGCGGCGCGCCTCGCCTCGCTACGCCGCAGCGGCTTAATAATAGACGCGTAACAACTCGTCCAGTTCCAGCGTTCGACGTCCATCTTTCCAACTCGCGGAGATCGATCGTACGCGACTCGACGAATCGGCGAAATTCTCGCCGCGATGAAAAACGAAATCGACGCGCGGTTTGCGTTTCGCGTTGTCCGAGCGTACAAGCAGCGGAAACGGAGGAAGACGCGAAGGACGCAAATCGAAGAAGAAGGAGAATAATAAGCGCGCTTACGTGGCCGTAGCTTCGATCGCGAACTAAACGAGAAAAGATTGGAGCGAGGATGCGACGAGAGGAGGTTGGAGGCGAACGAGAAAGAGAAACGGAGAGGCAAAGAGCACCGCGGAGAAGGATACGTTCGCGTGTTTCGCTTGGCGTTTATTTCTGTCCGGTATGCTCGCGTAACCACCCGTTTTAATCGCGCGGCCACTAATAGCCGCAGCGTGTGCATGGATGCGCTAAAAACACGGAGAGAGTCGATCAGCTGAGCCGACGTTTGTTCGTCGGACGTCGCTCCGTCGCTTCTCGCGTCTTCTTTCTCCGCTTTCTTCTCTTCGTGTCGTTCTCGTACGCCGTTCTACGAGTTGTCGCGACGAAGGAGATCGCAACGCGATCTTACGCGTAAAAACCGTTTTCTCGCTTCGCTGACCGTTGATCGAGTTTCTCCGCGATTCGACTCGATCCAGAGCGTTTCTCGCGATCGGCCAGCCGCGTAATTCGAGACAAGGACGACGGTGATCGTCGAGGGATTGTTTGGAGGGAAGGTGGACGACACTCGGCACGGTTACGAGTACGTAGACGACGTTTATAGAGACAACCGGTTTATCTCGGATTTTGTCCGAGAGACGTTCATTAGAGAACTCGTGACGCGCGATTATCGGCCTGTCGCGGTATTACTTCCGGATTAATCCGACGAGCTAGGAATTACTCGGGTTGCTATAATCCCATGTGCAAACAAAGCGGTTACGCCGTCTACGGGGTGTACGCCTGTTCTCGCGTTCCTCTTCTCTTCAGCGACGGAAATACGACGATCGACGACGTTTTTGCCACGGACCGAATTAGCAAAGCGATCGATATTAACGGACGGCAACGTGTTTTTCATCCCATCTGCCGAGTTTTGCTCGGAACAGCCACCGTCGATGAAGATAATCCGCAACCGATGGTTAAACTTGCGCGTTACGATGGATTTACATTACACGACATAGGACACGAGCCATCGCCTAACGGCGACGTCGCGTACCTGTCGCTGACGAATATACGCGGCGTCTCGTTTTTAAAACGTACGTTTTGACGATTCGTCTGAGGTGGTGTGTCGCGATGGGTGTGTGAGGATTGGTGTGTTTAACGAACGATCGTTTATTAAGAACGAATTAACAGTCAGAGTCAACAAATAACATGTGGCGGATCGCTAGGCGGTCGAATATACGAGAGATTGATGCAAATGTAGACTCCCTCTACGTCTAAGGCAGGGACTACCGGGCGTAGCCTTACTGACGAGTCCACCGGTAGTCCCGGGACGAAACGCAAACTCTCCTCTTTTCATCCGCCACAAACGATTAACAGATACGATTAACAAATAACTGGTAACAATTAACAAGTAACAACAGACGCCGAGAGATCATTCGACGCATTCGATACGCAATGGTACTGAGGAGTTATACATTTAACGGCGTAAGACAGACTGACTGCCCTTCTGTTCCGGATCGAAAGGATTCTTCCCTTCGTTGCCCTTCGATATCTCCCCCACTAGCGTGCATTCGGTAGATGTGCCGCCGCGGCTGGCACGTGTATGCTCTTTCGAGAAATCGTCGGAAAAATTGCGAAGATATCGATGGTACATTGGGCACGTCGGTGTTGCGCTTTGACGGCGTCGCGCTTTGTATCCAGAGCGGTTCCGTGACCAGTGCCGCCACACGTCGTATCGACGACCGTACCGTGCGTACTTCGCGCGTTGGAACGTGTCCGCCACGTTTTATACGAACTGTCCCGCGTTATCGCCCGCAAAGAGGTCGGTCGGACCGCGAAACGCGTAGTACAAATCTACTCGTTTGCTCCGTCGTTCGGAGCTTCGTCTCGACGATGCAAACGCAGCTGTCCGATCAATTTCCCCCGGTGCTGATCCACCGCTTTCTGCGGTGGTCACCGCATCGAACAAATTCAAGTTCTGGCCGACGATCGAACCGAAAAGCAAACGCGTTAGCATGCGATAAAGTTTGTAACGTGGCGAATAGCGTCGGAAACGAGAGAATCGACGATTCCAAAAGCCGACGATTCGGACTGCGGATGCGGCCTATAAACGGGCAAAGTATCATTTCTGTGTTTGGAGCGGAGATTAAACTTCTGGGCGCGAAAAAAAAAAGGGCACGTGAAACGACGATGAAACGTCACGGTTCACCGTACGATTGATTCGCCAACCTTTTATTCCGCATTGCGACCTCGCACGGCCCGTTTCATTCCAGTTACGGATGTGTACGGATGCTCGAGCACACGTTACGCCGTAAAAACCGCGTAAAACGTTAAGCACGTGTTTTTCGGCAAACGTCAAAGGCCGTTTCGTTTCGCTGCTTCGTACTTGCTCGCTACTTCGTTTCTCGAGAAAACGATCCTTCGCGGTAACCGTAGCACAGAAATCATGCCCCGTTTGCCTTTCCGTTTCCGTTTCGCCTTTACAATCGTCTCTCTCTTTCTCCTTCTCCTTCCCTCTTCCCGCGACCGTACAGCCCAGTATAATTAGGGAAATCGTGGCCGAAGTAATTGCGAGCAAGTAGCAAAGGGGAACGAGTTACAGAACTCTGGTCCGAGCGAACCGGATGCCGGTCGTCTTCGCGCCTTTGCCCAACCTTTTTACCGCAACGACGCAACGGAGCGCGACGTCGTTCAACGAGCCGAATTTCGTACGCGTGACAAAACGTCGATGCTTCGACGCGTATTTTCGTAGCGATCGATCGCGATAAAACGTCCATCTCGCGTCTGTTCGTTGGCCAAACTCGACTGTCGGAACGCAGCAAGAAGAAGGCGAGTTCCCTCGATCGTGCAACGACTACTTTCGATCGTCTGGACGGTTGGACTCGCGTCGCTAGACACCGAAAACGCGTCAGCGAACCACGCTTGCGTCTACCTTTCCCCGTAGACGATTGGTGGAAGAACGTTTCGGGGAATATTATCTCGCAAAGGGGTCGAGAGCAAAGCGTGGAGAGCAAAGCGTGGCGCAACGCGACTGAATCTTAATTAGAAAATTCATCTCGGACGTCGTAATCGGTAGCTCTTGGGCGCTGGAATTTTCGGAATTCCCGCTACGCTCCGTCCCCTATGTTCCGTTTCATCTCATTTTCCCCTCGTCTTTTCCTCCCTGGCTGCTTCCTGTTTCCTCGCTGCGTCGTATTTCGGCTGGATAATCGCCTACTGTTCGCTCACCCACGCGGAACGCGTCTCGCAACGAACGAGTCTATTCCGGCGAGAAATAACGTCCGTAGGTTGGAAAAAGGCCGAGTGACGTCCGACAGTTTACTAATTTACATTAACTTCTCCGCAATCGTGTTCGTTGTCCGAAGCTGCTGTCACCGGCGATACTTTGCGCTCCGATTACGACTACTTATCACGCGCCGTTCCCTATTTTTCCCTGGCACACAGCGCACCCTTTAATCCGGTTTAGTCGCATCGATCGCCTCCGTAAATCGCGCCGCGAGTACCGTCGGTCTATCGATCTTTTCGGCAACTACGATGTGCTGTTCCAAGAGGTCGCTTATCGACACTCCGAACCACTTCTCGCATGAATTACGACGTTGTTCCAGAGGCTTTTTCTCGCCTATGCATGTACCTACCTACGTTCATACGCGCGCGTGAATAAGCAAATGGAACTTCTCTTCGCGAGAAGATCGCGGTCTCGTCGAATCAGCGTGCCGAGTCGACCGATCGGAAAGTAGGCAGAGCAAACTCTGCCTACGGAAACGAGGCTCGAG